TGCTGTGGCCTGTACTTTGGGAGAGTGAAGCAAACCAGGGGGAAAGAGGGAAGGGGGAGAGAACAGGAAATGGAGTGAGGTGTTTCAGGAAGTTGTCAGGAGTTGACTGATTGATTCCAGATGGGACGGGTCAGCCTCCATGACCCAGGAAATACTCACTAGGGGAAAGAAGTTGGCTAGTGGAAGGGGAAGGCCTGGGAGCGGAGAGAGGCAGGAATGTACAGTCCACTTCCTTGAGCCTTAAAACATTCAGCGTTGAGTTGGGGTGTTTTTCTTTTAAAAAAAACCTCTTCTGCATAAAAGTAATTTCATTGTTGTCATCCTTAATCAGGCAACATTGAGAGGAATTCCATTTGGAACTTTGAAGGCAACAAATGTATCTTCTCCTCAATAAGGAAACTTCCCTTTCCCTACAGGGCCATCATTTTCATGCCAGGTACCCTCGTATGGATAAATATATATATATATATATATATATATATATTTTACTTAGGATATTTTCAATTCTGTATTCAGAATTTGAGAAATGAAATCTTTTCCATGGTGCATACTTGGGTTTAACTGGTGAGTTATCATCTATTCCAGGTATTTTCCAATTCCAAATCAGGACACGGGGTTGGACAAAGGTTTCTTTTTGTTTTGTTTTTGGTAACAATGAGACAGATTATTTGAAATTAAGACTGTTTGGGAAAATCCAGTATGTATGGTCAATGCACTCATATTTCAAGATTTTAAAATGTTAAAAAATGGAATCTTAATCATCTAAGTCTGTGTATATGTGTGTGTATATGGCATATAGATTGTATTTATCATATGAAATAACAATATATGTGATATACATATAGATAATGATTTACATTTGGATATAATTTAAAATCTTGTCATAAATATTTCTGACACTGAAATAATTCAGGTCAATTCCCTCACTGACCTAGCAGGCCTTAGCTAGCCAGCAAGAGATGAAAATTTATTTCCATTGTTAATAGAAAATAATGAAGTGCATCTGAAACACTGGGGTGTGTCATGTGGGAAAACGCTCACTTTGGACCTGAGGCTGCCTCCACCCAAAGGGACGATGATGAAATCCATTGGCACCTGGAACCCACCACCTTCGGTGGCAAGAGTGCAGGAGCAAGGCAGACGTCGAAGATGACTCTAACAGGAACCTTGGGGAATGAATTAGAGAGGGCTCAGTAAGGGCATTCTTAATATCCACGTAATCCTCGTTGGATGGGGCAAGGTCTCTCCTAAGTGAGCCCAGCACAGTTTATCAACGATTAAAACCTGAAATCCCCACTCATTTTTTTTCCCTCATCGGGGAAGGGGGGTTCTTGGAACGAGACAGTCACATCTTTGAAAATTCACCCCCCCCCAGCTATTTGCAATAATGACTTGTTTTCATCTCTTTTCCCTTCTCCTCTGCCCTCTCATTAAAACATACATAGCTATTATACTCTGAGGGTAAAAATGTACAGTGCTGATCACTTTCAGCCTTCGCATTTATCTTCATGTGATAGTTCCCGTCTGGTTTGGAAGCACGGTTTCCCTTTTGGCTATAATGAGGGCTTGTACTCTGCTGAGCCCCATCCTGATAACATTGTGCGCTGCTAGACTATGAATGTTCATGCCTTCGTGGCCACCACCCTTGTGATATTAAATTTGGGGAGAGGATTTTCGCCAGACACGGACATGTTCACGGGAGAGCAATTGGAAACAGACCTGAACTGATCGGTGCAACTCTAAACTCAAGCCTAGCTTGTAGGGCTGGGCAATATATAAATGGCAAAGGTTTCCCTCTGAATTAGTTCTTATGTCTTAGGCTTTTAATGACCTGGTTACATTGGCAGAGTCCTCACAACTGGGGGCTCAAAACATGGAGAAACAATTTTCAAATGGCTGTTTGTTCACTAATCAGGGCTAGTGCTCCATGAAGAGAGAGCACTGCTATTTGGGGTAAATGGGACATTGATAATGGATGATGGAGAGAGAAGGCAGAGTGTCTCAGCTCTTAATTTGCTTCTTTTTCTCTGCCCAGGAGAATGAACTTTAGTTTAGAAAGTCAGTCAGTCAGTCAGCAAATATTTATTAAGTGCCTCCTATGTGCCAGGCACTGTGTTAAGATCTAGGGATGCAAAGAATGGCAAAAATAGTTCCTGCCCCCAAGTAGCTTACAGTCTAAGGGAAGAACATGGGAATAATTAGGTACCTATAAGATCTCTCTCTCTCTCTATCTATCTATCTATCTATCTATCTATCTATCTATCTATCTCTATTTTTATCTCCAACTCTTTCTTTCCATCTATCTAGATATACCCATTTCTATCTCTACCTCTCTCTATCCCATAAATTGGAGGTACTCCTAAAATATGTATTAATTGATTGATTGATTAAAAGGGAAGGCACTAGCAGTTGGGGGAACCAGGCAAGGGTTCCTGTAGAATGTGGGGTTTGAGCTGAAAGGACAAGAAAGATTGACTAAAAGAGAGTTGATAGCCAGTGTGAGGAAGGAAGAGACAGTAAGATAGTACCTGGCCCAAATGAATGATACCTTTGGTTTTGAAAGAAATGGCCAGTGTGCAGGCTGGGCCTCTGGTAGTGGTATTTGAAAGATCTTGGAAAATGGAAGAGGTACTGTAGGATTTGGAAAGGAAAAGTGTTGTTCAGTTTTCAAAGGGAAGAGAGTAGAGAACATAGGCAGAACATAGGCCAGTGAGCTCGCTTGGGATTGCTGGCAGAATTCTCCAATGTGTATTGGTGAGCCTTTAGAAAGAGAAGCAGTGGTGGTAGAGTCACCATACTAATCATGCAGCCTGGATTGGGAATAGGAAAAGCTTCTTATTTTACTCTACCATTTCTGTGGTCCAGGCTGCATCAGTAATGGGCATGGTGAAGGGGAGCAAAACATTTTCTGAACCTCTGAGCTTTGGGTGCTCATGAGCAACATTTTAAAAACAGATACCAGCTTCTGGAAGGTAGAAAAGGGAGGAGACTGTTTTGGGACAGGGAGAGTGGGATTTTGAATCAAAGCACCCGGTTTTGAATCCTAGCACTTCCTACCATGTAACCTGGTATTTCCTCTCTTTGGGGCTCAGTTTCCTCATCTATAAAGTGAGAAAACTGGGCTGGGTGATATTGAAGGTCCCACTTGACATTTTGATCTTAGGGTCCTGGGTGACTGCCCTCACTCCACAGATTGGGAAGAGAAGGCATGGGAACATTCCAGCAAGGTGTAGCCTACAGAGGTAGGGAGGGACCACAAGGGTACAAGTCTACGTAATCTTAACCCACTTTGGCCAACTAGTTCCTGTATATCTGTCGCCTGAGTATGTGCTCAACTATTCCTATCAGATCTTCCTTCTTTGCCATGACTCCTGTTTTTATAATTTTAAGATGCAGAGTAATTTTATATTGATTCTAAAACCGGGAAGTGAGCTTGTGCCTGAGATATTCCTGCTTCCTAGTTCTGCCACCCCAGAGATTCCATTCAGTAATTTTTCACCTTTCTTGACTATTGTGGAGGTAGGGGTGGGGGTGGGGTGAAGGAATCTCATTGATCTTCATCTGCTGAGCTCCTTCCCTATTCTAGTTTAGTATGTAATTATCAACAGCCTTGTATTATTTCTAATGGTTTTATCTAACTTATTTTTCATTCCCTGAGTGGATAATATGCTCTTGAAGGTAGGGACCATGTCTGACAGAATCATAAGTAGCTTTTTTTTTGTGCTCCTGAAAAATGCCCTCAAATCAACTTTTTAAAGAAAAATTCATTGGTGTGTGTACGTATGTGTGTGAGATCCCAAAGCACCATTCTGTGGAGGGAAACAGAGACACACTGAGATGTCATCTGGGGGAAGTTGTTGTGGGCTGGAGGAGTAAGGTGAGGACAGAAATGAGATGGGAGTAGCCCACCCTCTGATAGCTTCTTATACTTAATAATATTTATACTACAGAGTGTCCCCAAAGTCTCAGTGTAGGCTTAAGCTCTTCAAGCTTAAAACAATTAGATTTATTTAAACTATCAAAGTTTAAAACTGCATTAAGACTTTTGGGACCAAGTGCTAAGCTCAGTAGCTTCTAAAGAGCCGAAGGACTCACTAAGAGGGCTCTTGGTACCCTGGACATTTGAGTGCCCTGAGACAAAGCCACTGTTGCCTTAGACAGGTCTGAAATCTTGTACTTTTTATGCTTGTTTTTGACTCTATCTAGACTCACATAGTGCTTAGCACATTACAGGACCTCAGTGAATACTGATTGATTGATTCATGTCAATAAATTTGATTACCATTAGCATACCCACCTTTTCTCTTTTGTTCAGGACAGACGCTAAATATCTTGATATTCAAATCTGGCATTCCCACGAAGAGAGATGAGCTATATAATTCAATTCAAATCAAAGAAATTTATTTCAGTTCATTTTACCTTAATTCAATTGGATAAGATGCCATTTAACACAACAAAAATAGTAATAATAACTTGTATTTCCATAACATTTTAAAGTTTACCAATCACTTTACATACATGTTCTCATTTGATTCTTACAACAACCCGAGAAGTAGGTGCTATTATTATTAACACCTCCCCCCCCATTTTACAGGTGAAGAAATTAAAGTAGAGATAGATTTAGTGACTTACACAGGGTCACCTAGTTAATAAGTGTCTGAAGCTGGATTTGAACTCAGATCTTCTTGATTTCCATGCTGTGAGCATTATTATCATATGGCACTTGTTTACAGATAATAGCCAATATGATCTTCTCAACCTTCCAGGTAGATAGGTACCACTGGTATGATTATCCCCATTTCACAGATAAGGGCTGAAAATCAAAGAAGTTTGCTAATTGACCCAAAGTCATATGGCCATTAAGTATCTAAAGTGGGATGCAAACCTCTGCCTTCCTCGGTTCCATCTTTTACTACCAGCTCAATCAAAATGGGACTCCGCCTAGTGTATTACTTCATACGAAAGTCAGCACTACATCTTTTTTTTTTTAATGTTTGCAGGTGGTGTTATCAACAACCGTGAATGTGGATGGACATGTGCTGGCTGTTTCTGACAACATGTTTGTTCATAACAATTCTAAGCATGGGCGGAGAGCAAGGAGGCTGGACCCGTCTGAAGGTAAGACTGTCTAGGTGGAAATTGGCTAGAAAAGTGAAATTTGCCTCAGGTTGCTTCAATCAGATTTCACATAGGTAGTGGGAATCCTGCACAAAGCTATACGTGGTTTTACAAACAAAGTTCGTAATACTGATTTTCTCCTACAAAACAAACACCATCACACACACACATACACACGCACACACACACACTGTCAAATGGCAAAGTTAACCGTTCCTTCCATCCTATTTTTTTCTTTCTTTTTTCTTTTGCTAGACTGGCTTTTCAGGCAAACTAAGAAATGTGACATCTTAGGTAAACATTTCCATGCCAGGCCTGTATGAAGAGGTGTCAATTGTTCTCTTAAACAAATTGTGGGCAAAACATAACAATGCGCAGGATGAAATTGACACTAATTGATTTTTGTTTGCTTGGCCAAGGAGGAATCATGGTTGGCTTGGGGTGATTTTCAGACTGCATTAAGGCAATTAAAAATATCTGCAACTGCTAAGCTTCAAGTTGTCAAAAAAAAAAAAGCCAGTGAAATACATTGATTACGATAACTCACAAACTCCAGTAAACCCCAGCTCACTTCTTCTTCCCACCTCCACCCCACTCACTAGTGTAAGAAGAGATGAATTTCGAGTATTCAGGGAATGGCCAAGCTGGATTATTATTTCATTATGATATTTTTCTGCCCCCCACCCTTTTAAAAAAAATGTGTCCTATATCAGCTTGAAGAAGAATTAATGAACTGGAAGAAAATGATTGAATCAGTAAAGAATTTGGAGCACTGTTAATTCTCCCCCAGCGGTCTCTGAAAGGGGAGAAGAAAATCCCAGTATTCTGAGCTCGGAACCCATCCAGTTTTCCCCTGACTGATTGGATGTGATTGACTGGCTGCTCAAAGTAGGGTTGTGTTTTTGGAGTCCTGCCAAAGTTCTCCTCCACCTTTGACCCTGTCAACGTTGGAAATGGAGTGATGAATTGACTTTAGTTATGGCCTGGAATCCATCTTGGGCTCCTGATGGGATGTAAAGTCCAGAGGCCTTGAACACATGGAAGAGGATAAAAACACAATCCGTCCCATAAAGTTAGGAAAATGATTAGAAATTGTCTCTTGATAGGGTCTGAAAAACAAATTTCCAGTCTTGCATAGAGTGCTTTTTTTCCCCTTCCTCTCTAGAAGAGTAATCAGCCTTGTAAATCTTAACACGTCCCTCTGGTAGGCTGGGGTGTGGTTTTTGTGTTTATTTAACACTTTTTTCCAGTGTGATCAACTTATAAAAATACATTAACAACAACAGCAGAGTTTTTAAGAAACTCTGAATGAAAATAGAATTATAACATCCGTGAGCTTGAAGAAAATGTGTAGTTCATCTGGTCCAACCAGTTCATTTTACAGATGAGGAAACTGAGGCCCAGACAGGGGGAAGCATTTGTCTAAAGCGTAACCAGACAAGACTTGAATGGAGCCACTCTGACTTTACCATCAGTCACCTTTCCATTTCACTGTCCATCTAGTCCAGTCCTTGTCTCAAGCTGGAATCTCTTCTGTTATAATAATCCAGGCTCTGTTTGCATACCTTGAGAAATGAGAGCTCACTACCTTTCAGCACAGGTCATGACCACTTTTAATTGTCATTTGAATGTGAAATGAACAATTAAGACAAACTCAATCATTCATAAATTTTTCCTTTCAGTGATCCCAAATCTTCCTGTCTTTGGTTTCAGTTCTGTCCCCTGGGGCTAAGTGGGCCTGAGATCTTAGCATCCCAGAGCTGGAGGACACTTCAGCTAGGGTTAGTCTCATTGCTCTTCCATATAATAGCCCTTCAAAACTATCCATCATGCTTTAGGATCAGAGTAGCTTGCTTAGCCCTCCAATTCTGCAAGTTAACAATCACTTATTAAGCGCCCAGTGTTTGCCCTGTACAGTGCTAAGCCCTGGGGATTCAAAGAAAAGCAAAAGATAGTACTTGACCTTAAAAAGGTCTAATGGAGGAGACAACGTATGGACAACTATGTACAAACCAACTCTATACAGAATCAACTGGAGATCATCAATAGAAGGAAGGTACCAGCATGAAAAGAATTGAAAAAAGGCTTCCTATGGGGGGCAAGAGTTTCTCTGAGACTTGAAGGAAGCCAAGAGGTGGAGATAAGGAGGGAGAAGGTTCCAAGCATGGGGGCACCCTGTGAAAATAAATGCTCTGAGATGGGATATAGAATGTTGTATTCAAGCAACAGCAAGGAAACTGAGGCCCAAATTGGCTAGAGGACCCTGGATTAGGTCTAGTCCATTCCCCATCTAGTCCAATCCCCTCATGTTACAGATGAGGAAACCGAGGTCCTTAGAAGTGAAGTTACTTACCCAAGATCACACAGATAGTAAATAGCAGAGCTAGGATTTGAACCCAGATCCTCAGACTTCCCAAATAGCACCTTTCCCACCGTACAGCAGTATCTCACATGTTCCCCTTGACAAATTTTCTTTGCCGTGTATAACATCCGCAGTTTCTTCAACCATTTCTTCATATGCTATCACTGAGTCCCTTCACATTCTGGCCATCCTCTCCCGAAGGTAATCCAGGTTTTCCTGTCCTTCTCCAAACAGATCCCAAAATGAACCCAATGGTCTAGATGTGGTCCGACCAAGGTAGAAGATGGCGGGGCTCTGGCTTCCCTCATTTGACCTTTCCTTGCAGTGTGGTCAGTTTCATCATAGATTCATAGATTTAGAGCTGGAAGAGAGTTTGGAGATCAATTAGTCCAACCCTCCCCCCATTTTACAGATGAATAAACTGAGACTCAGAGAGATTAAGTGATGTGTCCAAAATCCCACAGAAAGTAAGTAGAAGAGCCTGGGTTTGAATCCAAGTCCACTTATAATGATAACAATGGTAATATCATTAATGATAATAAGTAACATTTATGTAGCTCTTTAGGGTTTTCAAAGCACTTTAAATATATTATCTCATTTGAACCATACACCAAACCTACGAGGTAGGTGCTATTGTTATTCCCCTTTTACAGATGAGGAAACTGAGGCTGATAACAATTCAATGATAAATTGCCCAAGGTCACATGGCCAGGAAGTATTAAAGGCAGGATTTGAACTCAGGATCTCCTGACTCCAACTCCAGCATCCTAACCAAACATTGCATGGTTTAGCTGCTAAATCCATCAGTCTTTCCTTTATGCCACATTGCCTTGTTAGATTATAATGACTTGGAGCAAACTAGTAGCCAATTAGTGTGGGCAAGAAGGCATTGCTTGGGAATTCTTCAGCTCTAGAAGACAAACACCATGAAGAATCCACCGTAGAGGTCCTGACTGAGAAGAGCAGAAGGAACAAGTCTAATTTCTGGTTCTGTCTCCATAGCTACACCCTGCATTAAAGCTATCAGCCCGAGTGAAGGTTGGACCACCGGCGGGGCCATGGTGATCATCATCGGGGACAATTTCTTTGATGGACTCCAAGTTGTATTTGGGACCATGCTCGTGTGGAGTGAGGTAGGCAAAGTCAATCTCTTCATCCAGTCTTGATCAGTTCAAGAGCTTGGTCCCAGTCATCCAGATCATGTTGAGCAGTCTCCTTCATGTAAGGCGCCACATTAGGAATTGAGGATGCAGACAGATATAATCCCGTAGTGAAGGAAGGCAAAAGGGTGCAAAAAAGATTAACGACACCAATGGGTTAGCTTCTCTTAAGTGCCAAATAAGTGATAAAGACAGCAAGAATCAAGCAATTAATTAATCAAGAAGCACTGATTAAGCACCAACGATTCTAGACATTATGCCAGAGCCAGGGACCCAAAGAGATCCAGAGATCACAGTGGCCTTAGAGATCATCTAGCCCGTATTTTACAGATGAGGAAATTGACTTCTGGAAGAAACTGGGGTTCAGTGGTTTGCTCAAGCTCATGTAGGTGGTGAGCGCTCAAGACAGGATCTGAATGAGTCTATAACTACACCTACACCCTGTGACATTCCAGGAACAGAAAGATGGCTGTAGACTGGAATAGCTGGGAAAGCCATCAGACGGGTAGGAATTGAACTGGGCAATGAGAGAAGGGGAAGATTGAGGAAATCAGAGAAGAAAGAAGCAGACATTAAAGATAGGGCAAATGAAGTGAGCTGAGGCATGAAGGTAAGAATGGGCATAATGTGTTCAGAAAACGTTTATGAAAATTCGAAGAACCTTCATGAGGGCAGGGCGTCCAGGGCCATGCTCCCAGGCTACTATAATTTACCAGGCACTGACTATCCTTGTACTTCAGCAGCTGAGAAAAAATAGTGAGCCTAGGACTTTAGTAAGCAAGAACAATTGATCTCGTGGTGACCTCTTCCCTCCCTCCCCACCCTGCTTAGCTGCATTTGTTTTCCAAGTTGATTTTATTCTTTCATGCAATTCAATAAATATTTATTAAGTGCCTACTATGTGCCAGGCACTGTGCTATGCACTGGGGATACAAACAGACAAACACAATCAGACAGACCCTGCCCTTGGATGACATTTTTCCTAAAGCCTGCCCAGGGACAATGTTTGCTTTTTGCTCCAGGTGTTTAAATGGCTAATTACGGCTCCCCAAACCTTGTGGCTAGAGGACAGGGAAGGTTAGTGTGGCTTGTTCTCCTTCTCTCCCCATTATTTTTTCTCACTTGTTTCCTCTCCAGCTCATAACACCTCATGCCATCAGAGTCCAGACTCCCCCTCGGCACATCCCTGGAGTGGTGGAAGTGACATTATCATATAAGTCTAAACAGTTCTGCAAAGGTGCCCCAGGAAGGTTCATTTACACAGGTAAGAGCTCAGATGATTCCAAGGGTTCTTTGCTCTTCTTCTTAATGAGACCTTCTCTCTGCCCTCTTGCATTTTTAAGTCATCTGTAAAATGGGGATAATCATACCTCCGAAGCCCAAGTGAACGAATATCTGTCTAGGGTTTTGAAAACCATGAAGCACTATGTGAATGTCAGCCCTTCTACCTGCTGTGATTATTGCTAGATCTTTCTGCTAGAGTGCCAAATCTTGACCTAGATGAGAGATTGTCTTCCTTTTCATCCAGCCCTGTGATTTTGCTAGTAGAGAGCACACCCAGTGATGAAGTCTGCTTTATCAACGCAGATCAAACACTTGCCTTCTTAGTTGAAAGCAGCCCCAAGGGGTTAAGCGACTTTCTAAGGTGACACAGTCAGGATGAGTCAGAGGCAAGACTTAAACCCAGATGCTTCTTGACCTGACCATGACACTTCCCAAATCTCAGTTCCAATGTAGGCCAGTTCATTTCAACAAATCTTTATCAAGCATCTGCTATAGTAGAAAGAACCCTGGCTCTTGAGTCAGGGGATCTGGATTCAAATCCAATCACTGACCCTTACAACCTGTGTGACCTTGGGCAAAGTCCTTCCTTTCCGTGGGCTGCCTTTTCCTCATCTATAAAAATGAGGGGATTGGGTTAGATGGTCTCTGAGGGCCATTTTGATTTTAGATCTATGATGATCCTATGATGGTAGGACCAACACCCTGTGCTAGGTACTGGATACAAAAATGGACATATTGTGTAAGGTTCAGGAGAAATCACCACTTCTTTGTTCTTTGGGTTTGTTCATCTGGGCACACCGTCATGTAGGAAGACCTTGGTCTTGTAGTCATGTAGCAACACCAGCACAGAATGGAAAAGACCTCGGCCCAACCATCTAACCCAACCCATCAGGTCAAAGGAATCCTCGCGTCCTCCCTGGAGGGCTGCAGGCAGAGGCCGACTGTGTCACTGTTGGGGGTGTTGGATGGGCCAGTCTTCTTCATGAGATTGTGGACTTGATGGCTTCTGAAGGACCTTCCAACCTCGAGAGTTTGTCTGTGAAATAGATCTGTTTTGAAGAGGATTCCTGCCGGGTATGGACAGAGCTACCTGGCCGCTGAGGTCTCCTCCAACTTTGAGAATCTATCATCCTGTAAGCCGCCGTGTTGGAGGGGTGCTCACGTTGGACTTGTCTTATACGGAATCCAACTCTGTAGGGGATGATACCATAGCCAGTTTGGGGGATGGTTACGATTACAAACCAGTAACTCAAATGTTTGTTGAGTACCTTAAGCTTTTAGGGTCCGAGAAGAGAAAAACAAAATGAACAGAGTTATTAATCAACCCCTGGACCAGGATTTATTAATCACTTACTGTATGCCAGACACTGTGCTGAGCTCTAGGGATACAATGACAAAAACAAAAGCCTGCTCTCATGGAGCGTATGTTCTCTTGGGGGAGGCAACGAGTACATAGAGAGGTATGTGTAAGATGATGGGGGAGCAGTAAGTAGAAGAAGGCGGTGCTTGGGCTGAGGACTGAGGAAAACTAGGGACTCTATGAGGCAGAAGTGAGAGAGGATTGCATTCCAGTGTAGAGAACAGCCAAAGCAAAGGCAAGGTAATGGAAAGAGAGCTCTGTGAGTGATGAACAATACAACAGGCAAAAGGACTGGCCCATAGAGTCTATGATGCTGAACATATGTTGTCTTAGGAGGTGGCATGTTCAGCCTTCTACCTGGAAATCTTCCAGAATAGGCTGGATGAACATTTGTTGGGTACACTATATTTTGTGTATTGGTTGGACTAAACGTCCACTGAGGTCCCTGCTGCCAGCTCTCTGTGAATAACACGTCATAAGAATCCTAGAAAGGGTCAGTCATGTGTGTTCCAGTAAGAAAGCATGGTGGACATAGGAAGTATGTGTGGGGAAGAAAGGCTGTGGGAATTTTGTTAGGTAGATCAGTAGGACAGACCCAGATCATGGAGGGAAGGGACTAGTGTAGAGGTGGAAGAGACTTTAGAAATCATTTGATTCAATCCCTTCATTTTAAAGATGTGGAAACCAAGGCCCAGAATCTGTGTCTTCAACACAGGGTGGCTTTGGTGGCTTCTGGAAAAGGGAGTGCCATGAAAATTATGGAGTGGTGCAGAGGCTGTATTGGAGGAGGAGGGTCATTGGAGGCAGGGAGATTAGGTGCAGAGCTACCCTTTGAAATGAAAGAAAAAGAAAAAAAATAGAGATAAAAGGGCAGAATTTTACAAGCTGGACAATGTATCAGGCTCATGATACTTTTTTTTTGGAGATATTGCACCGTCCTGAATACATTTATTCTTTTCTCCTTTCCAACCCATCAGCGTCCAGTGGTTACTTAAAGCAGGATGTTTTTGTCTTTTGTATTCGGAGTCAAATGCCAGCTTATTGATTTACAAATGTGAATGTATATGCTGTTTTCCTCTAGTGTAGAACAAAAGCTTCCAAAGACTGGGTATGTTGAATTTTTGTATCTATGTCCTCCATTGCCTAGCACAGTGCCTGGCACAGAGTAGGTGCTTAATAAATGCTGGCTGGGTTGGACTGAATTGAAAGGAAAAAATGTAGTCGGGAATATAGTAGAAAGAATGTGAATGTGTGTGGAATCAGGGGATATTGGCCGTAATAAGCACTTAAAACTTTTGCATTAGATTGAATAGTCCTAAGTCTCTAGGCTCTGCCACTAATTAGCTGTGTGATCATGGGTAAGTCACTTCCTTCCCTGGGACACAGCTTCTTTATCTGTTAAATGGTGGTGGTGGTTGGGGGGAGGGGGAGATCTCAAAGGCCTCTTCCAGCTTTAAAAATTTTATGATTCCATGAAATAGACACAGACAGTCTAGGAAACCTTCCATATGGCTTTAATATCTGACTCAACATTCTTGGACATGACCTGTGTTTGAGTGGAGATGCAGGTCTAGGAAAAGGTCTGTGTAGCCACGGTCGTGTTACAGCTAATGTTTGGCTCCTCACGTTTTTAAGATGCGAAGAGGTGACAGCGATATTTAGGAGTGGTGATAAAATAACAAGACAGCTTTGTGGCTCATAAATGGGCCCTGAAGGTGATTCCAAGAGAGAGCTTAGTGTCAGTGACATTTTGAACATTGTCAGAAAAAGTAACAACAACAAGAATTCGGGGTTATATATTGTGTTAAGCTTGGCAGAGTTCTTTACTTACCTTAACTCATTTGATTCTCACCATGACCCTGAGAGGTAGGTGCTATTCTTATCCCTGTTTTACAGATGAGGAAACTAAGGTGCGGAAGGGCAAATAACTTGCCTAGAGTCACAGAGTTTGTAAGTTTCTGAATAAGACTCAACTCAGGTCCTCCTGATGCAAGCACTCTACCCCTAAATGGTTAAGTGCGTGGTCTCCCAGGGGGACTAATTTGAAAGAGAGGAAACTGTTTTGGATGAATAGCTGCCGGTATATTCACTCATTCATTTGTTCATTCCTTCAATCATCAATGCAAAAACATCTTGATTTTAGCAAAGTGCTGGCATTAGAGCCAGGATGGCCCTGGTTTTCAGTCACACCTCTGGCTCATACTGACTGTGTGACCCTAGGAGGGTCATTTAAAACTCTCCATGCAGGATTCTAAGTTGCAGAACAGTTGGAGGCTTGATTCGTCCCTAATCTTATCCCTGCTATGTTCCCTACTCTCTTATCCCTACTATGTCCTGGACATTAAATAACGTGAATTTCTCATGGATCCACAGTATGGCTGATTACCAGCTGCCCTCCCTCTCCACAGCTGTTTCCCCAATGCAGAGTTGGGGGGAGGGTGAGAAGAAAAGCACAGATTCCCCAAGAATACATGAATGGATCACCGCTCAGAGGTCAGGCGGCACTAAGGGAGATTAATGTAGGGTGGGAGTCATACATTAATCTCCCTTAGCCCCAAATCCCTCCCCTACACCTCCAGCAGGGTCCATTCATGTGTTCCTGGGGAGTGTACTTTTTTTCTTACTCCTTCCCCCAACTCTGTGCTGGGGAAACAATAACTCTGTAAGGCTAGGAATGGCAGAGAAGGTACTGACCTGAAATGGTACAGAGTTTTCTTGCCTGAGAGTTCCACATACCAATGAAATCACAGGTTCCGTCCCTGTTGCTAAGGGCCACAAAACCAAACGTAGGTCCTAGCTGGGTCTTGAGCCTGATTGTTTTTACACTGCTTGCCCCCCACCCCTAGTCAAATGAAATCCTTTTTTCATGATCTAGTACTGCCTTGGCTAATCTGTAGAGGCACAATGTGCTTAAGCATTCTCTTCACTATCAACATCATTACCGCTACCGTTCTACATCACTATAATAAAAACCATAATGTAACAGATTTTTAGCGGTAACCTCCTCTAGTCCAAGACTCTTAGAAGACAGAATCATGGGATTTTAGAATTGGAAGTAATGTTGGTGTCTGTTGAACCTGATTCTGAAAAGGCAGTTATTTGGAGAAAGATGTTTCTGGCAGGAAGGCCATTTTCTGGCGCCAAATCCATTTAGCTTATGATAGATCCAGTGTAGGTGTTGGGGGTAGTGGTGGTGGTGGATGGTGTGGGTGGGTGGTGGTGGTGGGGAAGGACAGGAATGAAAGAGCAAGAGGGAAACCCAAGCTCTCTTCCAGAAGCGCAATCTTCAGAGAACCCAAGCTCTCTTCCAGAGGCCACCAGAGGCAAGCAAAACGCAAAACCAAAGCCACCTAGGGAGGAGCATCAGGACAGCTCTGGAGCCCAGTAACACTAGCCAGAGACTTTTCACCTCGAGGTTGCTGGATCAAATGTAACCCAGTTTAGTGGAGCTGGGAAACGGAAACCATCTGGGAATGGTTCCAGGGCCCATGGGAAGTGAATTGGTGGTCTTGAGCCCCTTCCCACTGAGAAAACTGCCACTTGACAAGGAGAACTAATTGGTAACCCAGTAGGGAAGCTGAGTCCAGTGGCTGGACATGGAATGAGATGGAATGTTCCCT